AGAGAGAGAGAGAGAGAGAGAGAGAGAGAGAGAAATAGAGGAAAAGCCTGAAATCTATAGAGAGAGAAAGAGAGAGAGAGAGACGAGTGGAGATCCCTAGGTCGAGTGATCGGCGCTGGTCGATTGAACAGCGCCGGCGAATCGACCGTCTAGGGAGGATCTCCTCCTCTGTTGATCAGTGAAGAACTGGTCCGGAAGGCCTGAAACTTGAGCTCGGCCGGCGTATCCGGAGCCTTTCCGGTGATCCCAAGATCACCAACTTAAAGCCTGGGTGTCGAAGAAACTCTCCACAGCCGCAAATCAACTCAGAAACCTCGTTTGATCATCAGACGAAGAAGGTAAAATCGGCTCACGGTCATTTTTTTCAAAATTTTCCAGAATTTGGTTCCAACCTCGATATGCATGTTTGTGTGATTTCATCGATGAATCTTGACATTTTGATGTTCATTACTAGTTTCTAATCACATTTTGTATCGTTTGATTGCATTGTTGATTGAAAATATACATAAACCGAGTCGGCCATGCATGAAAATCACTTCGCCGGAGCTCGGAGGTCCTCGCCGGAGCGTCACCGTGACCATAGGCCAATCAAGTTAGCATTCCCTTACCTTTTGTGATGATTTGATACCTGTTTTGATCGAGATAGACGGTTAGGGCGCTCTGTGTTGCGATTTGGAAGTTTGAATAGCTAGTTAAGAACAGTTTGCAAGTTAGGTTGTTTAGACTGATTTTTCGCCGGCCGGCGAACGTCCGGCGGCACTCTGATTAGGTTGGATCAGTATTAGAACATATGAGCTTGGTAATGGATCAAAAGAAATGGTCAAAAGGTCGCCGGAGGCTCGTTGGCGACGAGCTCAAACCGGCGGCCTCGAAAACCTTGAACTCAGAATAGTGCCCACCAACTGTTTGTGAAAATGCCTCAGTGAAGAAGGCCCGAAACGGTGTCGTTTTGGCATCGTGCTTGTCGGAGAAGAAGGCCGGCGACCGGCGCCGGCGAAGCCCGGTTCGGCCAAGCTGAACCGGGTCAAACCGAGCCGGTCCGGTTCGACTCCTGGCGGGAAAGATATAAAAAATTTAAAATAAAAATAATAATAATAATAAAACATAAAACATAAAAAAATCTTGAAAAAAATAAAAAATTTAGAAAATCAATAAAAAAATTGAAAAAAATCGGAAAATTCATAAAAATTTTCAAAAAATCATAAAAAATCAATTAGCGGTTTTAATAAAATTTCCGGAAAAAAAAAATCAAAAATTTTGAAAATTCACAGAATGGTCCAAAAACATCGTGGCCAACCATAAAAAGTGAAACTTGAATTTTTGGAAGTGCCCAAGTGGCATTTTTAGAAAATTTCAAAATTCAGGGATTATAACCCCTAAAAAACCCTAAAAATGTGTAAATCATGAAATGAACAAGCTTTTAGAGCTTCATTAGGGTTTGGGTGTTTTGATTAATTTTTCGTTTTAGAGACCACTTAGGATTGATTGATTTGATTGACTTTGATTGTGCATTTAATACTTGTTTGGTCTTTCCTGCGATTAGAACGGATAGGATTAGTGGGTAAGCATCGGAAATTTGCATGACACGTTAGACATCATATCGTTCTTACGTACCGAAAGGGCGTTAGGGATTTCGATTTGAGATCAATAACGTAACCAAATCCCCGTACTCAGAATCTCTGGTTTATAGAATCGTGGTATTTCTCCCGTACCTCGATTAGATTTCTAATCTACCTACCAATAATGACTAGTGGCAACTCCAAAATCACAAACCTAGACTAAATAAGAAATTACCTTCCACTGTCACGTGAGGTATGGTCTGGGAGAGACCCTTACACGGAAATACCTCCTTAGCGCGCAAACCCCGAAAGCCCCAAAAAAAGAAAGCGCAGCGCGACACCCATGAAGAAACTTAATCAGCACAAACAAATGTTTCGACCGAAAACTACTAGCTTCAAAGCCGATGATCTCAACTCTCTTGAGATGTTTCACCAAACATTCAAATATCCCCTATCTTGAGCACAAAAAATCTTCTTCGTCAAAGTTAAAATGTTCTTTAAATCCTTCATCAAGCTCAAACTGCACATGAATACCCCATTTAAGAATATTACTTCATATTAGATTGGATCCACTAGAAAAAGGAATTCATTGGCTCACTAAAATTTCAAACAAACAACCTTCATTTGTCCACCGCAGATGCTAGTCAGTTTTACTTTATATGGAGTCTTAATCAATTTGAGCTCTTAAACTCGTCCACACAATAAAATAGCTTCTCTTTCTAGGTGCTCATTGGTAACCTATTAGTTCAAGATCCCGACCTACATGGCAGCAAAAGAACCTCCAGCATAGCACTGCAGTTACTTTAAAACACGAATTAAAACTTTTTCTTCTCTCTCCTGAAGGAATACCCCTGTGTTTAATGTTCTAGAATTCAGACGAAGCCTTTTAAGGACATACTTAGGTCCAAAACAAGTTAATATTGCCCTGCACAAATGTAGAGTAGACTGACAGAGTCATGGGCAATTTTCGATTGCTAAAACAAATAAGAATTTGAGATTGATCATCTTTATGTGCTTCCAAAGTTTTAACTCACTGTTTAACCATTAGTGCGAGAAAGAAGTCTGCACAAGAAGCCAATTGAAAATATCAAAGCAAATGAACAACCTTCAATAGGGAGAGGTCAGTCAGGCGTAGGACTAATTTTTCCAGGTCCTGGGAACTTCGTAGCATGTATGGTATCCAAGGGAGGTCCCACTGACTAACTAGTGCACGTAGTATTAGATTTTGACATTTTGACAGTGGAGATGGCACTCCTTCCGTCTCCAAAACAGGACATTGAAAAACCCCAAACTAATACACCTATGACAAATTTACCTTAGATTAATTTTTTGACAACTAAAAATCTCAAATTGATACATTTGTGACAAATTTACCCTTTTTTAAATTGGATTAATATTACGAAAAATCACAAATTAGTACACATGTGACAAATGGAGGGTGAAACCTCAAACTAGTACACTAGTCAACTGTCACGTATCATCCAACTCAAAAATTTGACGATAAAATTTAGCGAAAACTAACGGAGGATAAAATTATCACAAGTGTACCAATTTGGGGATTTTGGTGGTTAAAAATTAATTTAAGGTAAATTTGTCTTAGGTGTACCAATTTGCCGTTTTTTGTGGTATTAACCCTATATAAACTAAAAGAATGAAATTTCAAGAAACCTTTTCGAATAATATTTTTATGCAATTTACTTTTGAAAATTATGCGTCTAAGAATGTCGCGGTGAGTAAAACCAGCAATATCTAGTGGCATTCATTATAATTTCTATTTACATGGCATATTTTTTTTGTGTGTTTATTCTTTTCCAATTTTCCTAGAAATTTTGTTTCGTGACCAAGCAAGTGCTCAATGGTCAATTAATTTTCTCAGCCGAATCAAGTCATTCCACCGTCACGTATTATCAAAGATACTTCAACAAATTGCTAAGAATATCCGATAAATATAGGAAGCAAAATCCTTTCGTCATACTAATGTGGCGTTCAATTAAAAGGAAAATAGATGAATAAACCTCATAGTACTTGTGTAATTTGAATTTGAATTGTTCCGACAAAATAGATATTATCAAAATAAAACGGTTAAACTATTTCTACCTATCCCACGTGATATAGCCATCACGTTGGTGTTTTTATGCCGCGGTAACAATGGCCTAAATAAATAAAAATAGATTAAATATACTAAAAAGAGAGAATTATTGAAAGGAAAAGGATAAAGATAATTGCCCTCTTCATGCAATTACCATAGTAAGACCACCAATAACGATAGCGGATGAACAGTAACAAGGAAATCTGATGAAGAAGATGAAGAGCAGAAGGAAATAAAAGAAAAAAAAATCAAAAGATTAAATATTTAGCAAAACGGCGTTAAACTTATCCATAGTCATGGCCACAGGCTAGTTTTGGCCCGGAATCGGCCCGGTCAAACCCGGGCCCGGCCCGTTGACCGGGCCCGCGGTTCGGAATCGGAACCGGCCCGTGGCCTACAGGCCCGGTTCCGATTCCAACAATTTTGGGACCGGCCCGGAACCGGCGGTTCTGGGCCCGGTTCCAAATTATTTTTAAAAAAATAATAACGAAATTTTTTTAAAAAAATTTCATTATTATTTTTTTTTTTTATAAAACAATTTGAACTCTAATTGCCATGCATTGTAAGTGCATTGATCTCTAATTACAATACTTGGCTTGGGTGTATTGAACTCTAATTACAAGGCTTGGCTTGGGTTTTATACACAATGATTCTAATGTATCTTCGTTCCCATTCGATGTGGGACTCTCGGCTTGCCTTGAACACCTTCAATGTGAGACTCTTGGCTTGTTTTCATGCAAATGCCAAGAGTCCCACATCGAATGGGAATAAAGAGACCATCAAAGGGGTTGTGTATAAAACCCAAGCCAAGCCATGAGCAGGTGAAGTTGTATGCATTTTGGTGCTATGATCCTTTGCTAGTTAAGAGCAAAGGGTTCCATTAGACCGCCTAGAACCAGACCGGACCAATAGTCCAGTTCCGGTTCTATGATTTGCCGGTCCGGTTCCTAGTTCTAAAATTAAGGGACCGGTCTTACCGGTTCGGTTCCCGGTTCCGAACGGAACCGGACCGAATCGAGAACCAATCACCCTTACAATTTACATTTTGATTACAATTTATATTGAATAATTCATTATTTCATAATTTTATAATTCATTATTTTTTATTTCATAATTTATTTATTTTATTTTTAAATTACGAACCGGCCGGTTCCGGTTCACACATGGCCACGAACCGGAGTGAACCGGAACTGGCCGGTTCCGAACCGTGGCCATGACTACTTATCCACATGTCGGCCTTACCTCGTAAGACCCTTGGCAATGACTAAACCGGTACATTAGCATTTTTGGGTTAAAAGTGACTGGAATAACTGAATTGAAAATTCTCCCAAAGGTTTAGGTAGAACTACATCGACAAAACTGAAATGTTTACATTAGAATTCATATAACAAACTTCAGAACATAACTCACTGTTTGATCAGACAATTTAACCAAAATGAAAGCTTTTCTCTGGCAACTCTACTACATAAACAAGAACCCCCAAGAGGGACATGGACCAGAGAGGGTCAACGAGGAGCATATCACCATATACAGTGCCCACAAAATAATTAATTGCTCGGACAGCATGTTCAAGCCAAAAACTAACAACCGGTTTTCAGGTTTATGTACTATTGCGAAACCAGTAATTCTACGAAACCAAAAAGAAGTGCTCATCGGACACTTTGAGCGCCTATTGCAATAGTCTTCTATCCTCGAGCCACCATAAATATTCCCAGTAATCCTGAAGTTTATGATCCAGAGGATTCACTTCTTTCCACTTTCCTGTACAGAATATTGCATAAGCATCGGCTGCATACCTGCCCAAAGAAATGAAAAGCAAAGCACATTACTACCATATGATTCCCGGCCAACTTTGAAATATTCTTAAATCTAATCGACGTTAAATGATGACATACAAAGAGACAGACCACAACCATTGCCCCACTTACTTGCCAACACCATGTAGCTGAGTCACATGAGTCCAGCTCTCATCGAGGTATTCACGTGACATTTGCATTATCATTCTAGCCCTCTTCCTCTTTAAACCAAGGTACTGAATAATAGACTCTAGAGTTTCTACAGAAGCCTCTGCAGCCTTTGTGGCATCGGGATATTCCTTGAACAGGGCATCTAAGTACTGACTCGTCTGTAAAAGATCGGTCATTAGTTAATCTCACATTCCACGAGTAAGATTGATGTACAAACAAATAAAAATTAACTACCAGCTCTCCAAGCTTCTCCCCCACCTATCTCACTACTTTAATGAAGCACCAAAAAGTCGGTCAATACTGCAGCTTAAACCATACTACTATATACAAGACATTTAAAAGCTCGAGAAAGGTCTACATCTATTCTTTAAATCCAAAAGACCAAAAAAGGTCCACATTTATCTTTTATATCATACACTGAACCGAAAATATGCCACAAGGTAAATCATAAGAAAGAACAGAAAGAAAAGAGCGAGTCCTTAACCAAAACCAATAGCCGTAGATATCCCACAAGTATGAGTTACGAGCCAGTATTGCATGCTCACATTTCAGCACTGAATATAATTCTCAAGACTTCTACTCAGAAAAATGAACAATGTTCTTTCATTCGCTAGGGGGATTGCTTTCCCTTGACGTTTCCAGATTTGACCTCCCGTTTCAGAGGAAAAAGATGTGAAGCCACCGTTAGGGTTTTAAGATTTTCCTAAAAAATTCAGGTTATGTAAATTTAAATAATTGCTGGTGATGCTTCAACCCAAGAGCTCTTGCTGGCATTGCAGTCCTGCTTTTGTGCTCTCAAAATTGAAGACAGATCGGATTATACCTTAGTGTGATGTGGGTTTTTTTCTGGGGGTGGCTAAGGTCAAGGACCGATTCCAAACCAGCTACCTCGGAACCATCCTGGCCGGTCTGGTTGCTGGGTTGAATCCAGTGGATTTCCAAGAACTGACCCGGTCATGGCAGTTCCTGGTTTTCTAAATTGAGAACAGGACTGGTTCCCACCTTAACCAACCTTGGACTGGACCAACCAGGCAGGTTCCAACCAGTTCCTCCTGGGTTAAACCAGACCTAGTGAACACCCTGAACCAAACCCAGTGATCACCCCTAATTTAAGAGGAGGAAAACAAAAAGTAAATAATTAGAAAGACGAGCTTTGCTAGAAAGTTCATGCAACATTGGCATTCCGCATAAAACTGTCGCATAACATTCCCACTCACAATGAATAAGCTCCCCTGCAATCCAACAGATGCGGAAAGAATGCATTCTAAGGAGAATTAATTAGTAATAAGACTACTTTGCTAATTTGCCTTTTAGTTCAAGATGACTTTTGAAAAACCTTTTTCCCATGCCAAACTCAGCCCTTATCTAAGAGCCATTAATTCAGGGGCTACATTTGAATAGTCAGCCAATGGGAAAGCAAAATCAATAACTCATTCTCCCTCATGATTAAATAGAAGACCACCCTTCCCGGAGGAAAGAGCATTGAGAAATGTCCACAATCTGTGTTTAATTTGAGGCAATGCTCAGGAGAAACATGGCAACATACCTGAATATGTTGACTAGTCCTATGAAGTGATACCTTGAAGGATTGAGTAATCTACATTGCCAAGTTCTTCATATGTTTCCGAAGAGTAGAAAAAAGTGTTCTCAAAAACCCGCTCATCACAATTGTTCCAAAGGGACCACTGACCAAGAACAAGAAATACACAAGACCAGGGGCACATTCACATCACACGTATAGTAACTACGATTCCTCTAAGCCGAAAATGCAATATGTAGCTAGAAAAAATCAGGGGGCATGTGCAAGAATCAACACACGCCAAAATTATAACAAGAGTTGACGAACAGTTATTTTACAGCAAAAATACATTTTCTTCTTAACCAAAGTTGCAATATGTAGCTACAGGGATCATGTGCAAGAATCCACACACACCAAATGATAACAAGAGTTGACAGATGATAGTTTTACAGCAAATTAGCAGGACCTCAAAGGAGCACTAAATACTGAGACATGAGGAGAAAACAACAAATCGCCATTTTAAGACACTGACAAGGCTGCAATGCAGCCTCCTAGAGACTGAAAAAACACGTGCAAACTAAAAGATCTTCATTTCTTTTCAAGAGACTCAATTTAAGCAACCAATTGCAAACCTGTGACAAGACTTGTTTTTAGAATAAACTTCACAATAAAATAATGCAAACTAACCTGTTAAGGAAATTTGAGCTTGACTAGTAAACCCAATTAACAAACTATATAAAAAGACAAAGTTGCATAAATTGAAAACTCAACCTGGACTCAACTTTGCCAAGCCTGCCGATCATGTCATGAGGCTATCCAAGCATGTAATCTAAAACTCCTTGTTCAACGGAAATCAACTAATGATAGATTTTAAGTTAAAATATTAGTTTACCATTGATAACAAATGATTTTGTAATTAGAAGAATTCCAATGCCGTCGTTAGTACATGGAGATCAATATTGCTACAAAGAAAGGAAAAACAAAACATTTTCCTCACGAAAGGTCTGGGAGAGGGGCCATTTTCAGGAATATGTCCAACTTTAGAGGAAACATGCCTAACAGGGTCTCTACAACTTCTACTGCCTGTTGACATTTCACATACTATAACCATCAGTTTCTTTAAAAAGATTCCAGCAATATTGGCAAGCTCTATCTTAGGGAAATGATTGAGTAAAATTAAGGACGAGAAGAAACCAGCGAACTTCAATTTTTGAAATAGGAAAAGAAAGAACGAGAGAATAAAGAAAGAAAAGCACATAAAACTTGACTCACACCTTGCTCCACAATTATGCCACTTAGTCCTAAAGCTGCCGTCAATTTATAATCCGTCACTCACTCCAACAAATAAGTGTTACTTCTATAAAGTAACTGACAAATAAAAAAGTGTTCCTTAGAAGTTCTCAGGCACAGCAAGCTTATGCACATGATGAGGTCAAAGCGAAGTAAGTTTGAAATTTTTTTTGTGCTGTTTACACTTATGCTAAATTCATCTTTCATAGTAACAAGATAAAATGACAAATGTCAAAATTTCTCCTTTCAGATAGCTAACTTGAGACCAATTTCAACAAATTTCTAAATTTCCTTTGGAAGTTATAATTTTCAAATATATACATGTAACTGAAGGTTGCAGATAAAGTATCGATCACAGCATATCATAATTACCTTCATTCTTCTAAACCATGGAGTAACCATAACTCAAAACACAGTACATCACTTTTTTGAGAAAAATGGTATCGATAATTAGAATCTATGAATATAATCTCACATGAAAGTTTGTTAAAGAACCAGTTTGAAGGCAGTACATTTGGTGGAATCTCTTTTAAAATTATGTCATGCCACAGAAATCAGGACCTGAAACAATGTTCAAAAACCTTAGGGAAGAGAGGGGTAAAAAAGCTAGCATGCCATATCTGAGAAACTTATACAGAAGATCACTAATAAAACCAGTGCACAAGGCAAGTGAATTTTGGTGGCAAATTTTTTTTCCAGTTTTTTGTTTTATAGCTGCAAGATAGTTATCTAGATGGAAAAATGTCTGATAACCACCTCGTCTTCTAGTTTTTTGAAAAAAGTAAACCACTTTAACTGATAAATTGTTGCTTATATTATTTACAATTTAAATTAGTACCATAGAGGAACTTCATGAAGAATTTAACGTACTTACCTTTAAATCATAATTAGGATAGAAAAATAAAAATAAAATATATATTAACACCCAAGCTGGAAAAGGGATCCACCACGAATGAAAATCCGGAAAATATTAAAATAGAAGTTAACCTTTCCAAGACGCAAACACATCCGAGCTCCTCTACATTAATGAAACCCAACCTACCACCCAAAATTATAATACCAATAATAATAGTAATAATAATCTGCCACTAGCTCCATTCACAAAACTCCATATTAGATGGAATGAGAAACTAACTACTTTTGTCTTTTTACAAGTAAGCAATTCATTGCATAATCATACTTAAACTATCGAACAAGTTCGTGCCTGTTCAGATACAAAGGAAAATCAGCAGAAGAATTGACCTGCAATACAGACAAACTACTTTCTCATGCCTCATTATCAGAATTTTCCTCTTGCAGATTTCTTCTACATGCGCCCATGTCATTATTCACTAGTACTATGTCTGGGTTATGCACAGGAATTTATAGATTAATTTGGGTAGACGCAATTAGAATAAATTGCGTTAATACGAGGTCGCCTATCAACTTACAAAACTCAATCTTGTGATTTGCAGCAATCCACTTTGAAGTAGGTCCTTGTATGACTGAACATAATTTCAAAATTTTGTCCCTCCCAGCCTTTGGAAAGATTTGAAGAAGCAACTGTCACTCTTTCTTAGTTAAAAGTTTAGCAATACGTATAGAAGTGTGAAGCTTCACTAAACTGAAGTCTGTGATTAGCACGAATCAAGATCTGTGAAACGGTCAAAATGTTTCGGCCTTTTCAACTTCATTCTAATATTCTCTATGGGAGAGTTGGTTCCCAATTCTTCCACTTGGAAGAACACTTATTAGTTGTAGTTTGCTGATCATCTGGGGCAGTTCTAGCATAGCCCGCACAAAACATATATACATTTTCATTAGTAATCATAAAACTTTTCAATACATGCCAATTTGACACCATTGTTCTACAGGTGTTGACACCACTAAATATCTAACCATTGAATCCAAACCTACTAGAATCAATTAAACAAGGGTCCAAATTGCAACCCCACTCAGTACATGCTTAAATAGAAACAAACCTAATTGAATATCAGTAACCAAAATTCCTCTTAATGTAACTAGCTCCATTCTCAAACAAGCATTTGCATAGTATTTTGGCCATTATTCTTGTGCTGCATCTAAAATTTAAGGATGTTATTATAAGGTGAACACATGAATGTGCGAATTCATTATCAATGCTTGACAAAGAGTTTTGCACCCGAACCACATAAAAACTAAAATGTCGTCGGCTAAATCCTTATTTTCTAGGAATTGATAACATATCTGTACGAAGCATCAGACTTTCGGATCGTGGGGACAATCTCCTTGCATAATAGTAATTTCCCATTCATTTTGTGGCCACCATTGTACAAAATGTCCTAGTGCTGCTCATCTCAAAGGCATTAAGGAGATTATCCTTTTCAAGTTATCAGAGAGACATTGGCCCCATCCCCTGCTCAGCAGGTTGAGCTAAGACTAAACGATCTTTCTGAACTCAAAAACTTTAAAAGCTTCTCAAACCAAGAGTAGCTCACAAGACTCTTAACTAAAATCTCTAAAAATTACTGAAACGGGACCATGATTCTAAATAAACAGAGGAAAAGGAGAACCGTTTAGTTGCACATAATCTACTTAAACCAACATCCATTGTATGCATGCAATCAAAATAGGATCGACCGAGAGAAGGAAGGAATCAGTGATACCTGTTTGCCAGTGGTGACATTGAGAAGCATACAGATGACGAGAACACGCCAAGGATCATGCCAGTGGCTCTCTTGCAGGAGACGGTGGACAGAGCGCGGTGGCTTCCACGTGTTATCGGGGCTCTTCCTCCTGTACGCCTCCGCTCTCTTCTCCGCCGCAGTCAACACCCTCCTCCTGTCATACTCCCGCCCCTTCCTCTTCGCTCTCGGCTTCGCTTCCGTGCCTTCCCCTTCCTCATCGGCCTTCTTCTTCGAAACCCTAACCTTCCTTGCTCTCGCCTTGCGCTGCGGCTGCGGCTGCGGCTGCGGCTGTGGCGCCCCATCTTGGGCCTTCTGGAAGTACGCCGAAACCTTAATAATCTTAACTGCCTTCTTCTTCCCTCGCGCTCTCGCTCTCCCGTCGCTCTGCGGCTGCGGCTGCGGCTGCAGCTGCGGCGCCCCATCTTCGGCCTTCTGGAAGTACGGCGAAACCTTAATAATCTTAACCGCCTGCTCCTTCCCTCGCGCTCTCGCTCTCCCGTCGCTCTGCGGCTGCGGCGACTCCTCACTGGCCTTTTGGAAGTAGGGAGAAACCTTCACAACGTTGCCTGCCTTCGCTCTCGCACTCGGCCTCGCCTTGGCCCACGACTGTGGTTTCCCGTCATCTGGATTTCCCCCTCCAACGCTACCACCACCGGCACCGCCAACAGCGCCGCCGCTGCCTTCGCTGTTGCTCTTCTTCTGCTGGAAATAAGGAGAGAGTCTGGGCCCGCCGTCGGGGCGCGCAATCGGCACGACCTCCTTCCTCTTCGTCACCGGGCCACCCGTGTAAGTGAACCGCGAGATCATCTCCAGGATCTTCTCGCTGACGGGAGGGCCTCCCTGTTCGAGATCAGCGTCCGTCGCTTGACCGCTTGCTCTCTTCTTCTGTGCCGTCCGCTTCTTCTGAAAGTACGGAGAGACGACGGCGGCGGCGGGCTCCTCGCCATCGTCGGCTCTCTTCTTCCTCTTCTTCTCCATGGCATCTCCCTCAGGAGTCTGCGATTTTGGGAAGAAGGAACGACAATGAAATCTCCCTCTTTTCTTTTCTTATTTTTTATTTATTTATTCCTTTTAGATTTTCGCTTTTCCTTTTTTTTTTTATTTGGCAATCGGCGCCAAACCAAAGAAAGACCGCCAACTTTGTTCCCGCCACGTCATCCGCAAACGAAAAAAAAAATTAATAAAAATACAATGTCCGCGCTTAGTAGAAAATATTGGGTAAATCCGTTGTGCCATATCATATTTAAGACGAACCATTCAATGAGTGACAAGTGTCAATATTTGGCCTACTTGTAGGAAATTTTGAATTCTCTAATTTTTTTTTCTGCCCTCCTTTCTTGGTTTTCACAGTTGAATATGCAAAGAGGAGGTGATACATCCATACCTACAAGTTTGAAAACATAACAGAGTGAATCGAGGACTCAGTAAGCAAAATCACTAATCCTGAGTTAGGAGGACATCTCGCCGTCGAACCCAGCATGCGAACATCGCTAGCATCACATCATCGATGACAGATCAATAGCAACACTATTGTTGTACCTCAACTATATGCATGTGATCAATTCCGGTTTACCGTCAAGGCACGATTTACTTTCGGCTTATCAACAAACTTAACAACAACACACATCAACATACATTAAAAGTTCATTAAGCATCTCACACGGTTCTTCCCATACTTTCAGGGGTTTCAGTCTCAGGCTAGACATATGAAATATACCGGGCATCCCATACTCTCAGGGGCTTCTAGCTTCAGGTTGGGCATTCGGAATCCATCAGGCATCTCATAAGGGCTTCCAGCTTTAGGCTAGGCATCCGGAATCCACTAGGCAACGTCACCAAAATCCATTGGCAACGGCTATTTCCTTTATGTGACCACACAACTGGCATTCATGCAAGCCAGATTCTTATCTTTGTTTCTTAGCCAATGCATATACAATGCTCGTGGGCGTGCTCAAACGAGTGCATGTATGTCATGACCCTCACTATATGGTATGCCAGAAACAATCCTTGATTCATGGCATAAACTGAACACCTAGCGCCAATCCCCGCACCGAGCAAGACTTGGAACCGGCACACCTCAATGCCGACCAAGGCTTATGCTTGGTTTATCTCGCCTTAGCGTTGATTTCAAGTTGAGTGAACCTCGACCTTGTCTTGAGGCATGAACACACTCAAATATGCCACATGAGCAAACCATAGAAAAGAACATCATACACACGACAAAGTACGGGTGAGCACACGTCCAAATTCAATAACGCAGCATATCACCCTAGCTAAGGGTTAGTAATTTCACTTACCTAAAGATGAATTAGAGGGGGCTTGCCAAGAAATGACCTAAAGGAGGAGGTGGCATGCAAGGGAGAGGAAGAGAGATAGTGAGCCCAAAGTGTGGAACTGAAAAAGGGGATCCTTCTATTTATAGGTTTCATTTTCATCATTGCTTGTCTAAGTGGTCCAATTGATTTCCTTGAAGTGGCAAGCCTACTAAAATGAGTAGGCTAGCCTATTGGATGAGTGGCAAGTCTAACAATAAGAGGTGGCATGCCTAATGAGAGGATGTAGCATGCCTAAGCTCTTAGGGAAATCATGAAGCTAATGTGTACATTTCTAATTGGCACACTTGGTCATGAGCCACTAACTTCTTCCCCAAGACAAATCTTGAGCCATCATGACCAAATCTTCCTTAGGCCACATAATATGATTGTTGCGCCGCGCTTTTTTTTTGGGACTTTCGGGATTTGCGCGCTAAGGAGGTATTTCCGTGTAAGGGTATCTCCCAGATCATACCTCATGTGACAGCGGATGGTATTTTCCTATTTAGTCTAAGTTTTCGATTTTGGAGTCGCCACTAGTCATTATTGGTAGGTTGACTAGAAACCTAATCGGGTATGGGAGAAATATCATGATTCTACGAATCAGAGATTCTGAGTACAGGGACTTGGTTATGCTAATGATCCTAAATCGAGATCCCTAACGCCCTTTCGGTACCTAAGAACGATATGTTGTCTAACGTGTCACACAAGTTTCCGAGGCCTATCCACTAATCCTATCCATTTTAATTGCAGGGAAAATCAATCAAGAATTAAATGCGCAATCAAGGTCAATCAAACTAAACAATTCTAAATTGTCTCTAAAAATGAAATCCAACCAAAACATCCAAACCCTAATGAAGCCCTAAAGGCTTATTCATTCCATGATTTGTGTCTTTTTAGGGTTTTAAGATTTTTTAGGGGTTATAATCCCTGAATTTGAGGTTTTCTAAAAATGCCACTTGGGCACTTCCAAAAATTTAAATTTCATTTTCAAAGGTTGGCCATAGTGTTTTTGGATCATTCTATGAATTTTTGAAATTTTTTATTTTTTATTTTTTTTTTTTCGAAAATTAAATTTCTAATAATTTCATTAGCCGAGAATTGATTTTTATGATTTTCTGAAAATTTTTATGAATTTTCTAATTTTTTATAGACTTTCTGAATTTTTCACATTTTTATTTGTATTTTCAGAATTTTCTGGATTTTTATGAATTTTCTAATTTTTTTTATTTTTTTGTGAAATTTTCTAATTTTTGTATTTTTATGAATTTTTCGAAAATTTATAAAATTTTTCGATTTTTCTGATTTTTTTAAAGAATTTTCTAATTTTTTCTATTTTTATTGATTTATTGATTTTTTTAATCAACTTTTTTTTTATTTTTCCCGCTGGATTAGTGAACCGGATCGGCCCGGTTCAACCCGATTCGGTTTGACCGAACCGGACCTCGCCGGCGTTAGCACCGGTCACCTTCTCTGGCAGGTACGGTGCCAAAACTGCACCGTTTGGATGCTTTTTCTCTTTGGCATTTCGCTGAGTACCTGGTAGGCATGATTCTATATTAAACATTTTCAAGACCGTCACTTCAAGCCAAATTCCGATGACCTTCCGATGTGATTTTGACCATCTCAGTTGATCCATTCTCAAGCCCATATCATCTAATATCAGTCTAACCTAATCGGAATGCCACCAGACGTTCGCCGTCCGGCGAAAAGCCGATCGGAAAAACCTACCTTGTAACTATCTTAGATTAACTTTATCAAACTTCAAATCCTGATTCTAATCGCCCTAACCATCTAAATCGCCCAAAATGAATATCAATCTATCAAACAAAGTTAGGAGAAGCTAACTTGGACGGCCTTGTGGCCACGGTGACTCTCCGGTGAGGGTTCCTGAGCTCCGGCGAGATGATTTAATGGACGACCGAGATGATTCATGCATATTTTCCAATCAAGATGCAATCAAATGACATAAAACGTGATCAGAAACAAGTTTTGAACATCTAGAAATACAAAATTGCAAAGAAAATCACTAGAACAATAAGATTGAACCGAATAGTATATTATGGAATTTCATCTAAATCGTGACGAAGATCGAAGTTTACCCGCTTTTAATGAAGATTGAAATGAGACTCCCGTGCTGATCGGCACATGTGACGTTCTTCCTTGATATCTGAGCTTCGATTTGGTGACTTTAGCTTCGTCGGAGAATGCCTAGCTACACTGACCGAGCCTGAGTTTCAGGCCTTCACGCACGGTCGACCTTACTGAACCTAGGGAGGGAGGTCACGCCCAAGCTTTGATTTGCTGGCGCTCCGCCGTAAAGGGTGGCGCCGAACGCTCAGAAGGGGACCTCTACCTTCTTCTCTCTCTAGATTTTACGCTCTCTCTCTCTCGGTAATTTCATTGAGCACGCTTTCTTCATAATGTTCAGTTTTTTCTTGTTTTTGTTGATCAATTTTCCTGCCCAAAGTTTGTTTCCACCAACTTAGAATTAGTTAGGATGATTCTCTGGTATCAGCTGGAGAATCTCCGGCTGGCATCTTGACTTTCATGTGCTAGATTGATCGGGCGAAGTTCTTAAAGTTTTGGGTTTGAGAAGATATTTTCTGGGTTTATCGCACGTTTTGGGCGAGTCGGGTGAGGAAGAAAGGCAGACCCGGGTCGGGTCGGGGTTGACCCGGCCGACCCGGTTTTGATTAAAAATTCAAATTGAGCCCAATTTCAACCGAATTTTCAAAATTAAATCCCAAAATTGAATTTCTCATAACATTATAAACCCAAAATATGTGATTTTCCCAAATTTTTGACAAAATCATGTCCAAGATTTTCGAACTTTTGTATTCGGGTTATTGGGATTTTGTTCAATTCAATGCCTTAATGACATGATTAGGCAAAATTAGTACCAAAATTGAATTACCCACATCTTATTATCCTTAGAAATGATGGTCTCATGGTTCGACAATTTCGAATTGGACACGATTCCCAATTTGGATTAAAAAATTCCTAATTTTCAATTGAATTTTGGGGTTTTCTGATTTCTTTAACAAATTGTGCAATTGGACTGACTATTATGTAATTCAAGGTCCCAGAATCATTTGTTGTGAAGACATTATGACTCAAAAATGACTAGAAAATATTTAATTGCATTTTTTGTTCAATTCGGGTTTGATTTTGCCCAATTTTGGGAAAAACACATGTCCGATTGAGATTTTCCAAAATTGATGATGTATTAGTGAAATTGAATTTAAAAGGAGACTAATGACTATTTTTATAGAATTTTTTGATTCCATTTTCTATTTTTCTTGATTTTCTCACTCATTTTCACTAAAAGAAATTAAAGAAAAATTCAAGAAAATGCTAAAAAAATCATTTTTGGTTTAGAAATAGGTTTCTAGGCTTGGCCAAGATTCCTAATCCTAATTTTGAGATTTTTGAAAATATGAAAAAAATGAGCTAAAAATCAGGTATCAACAGGTGCCTCTCTTTGAGATTGAGCTCGTTAGAGGTTGATCTTAAAGACAAGGTGACACTTGAATTTTTAGTTGACTCAATGAACAAGACAAAATGGAAATTTCACAACAACTTATTAGGAATCTTGCTTTTGAAATTCGTGATATAATCCAAAGGTTTTTTTTCAGAACACATTTTGAGAGGTTCTTAATGATTGAGTGAGAGAAACTTACCTGTTTGTGAGCATTTCTTTGTTGCTTATCCAAGAGTATGAATTGATG